AGACATTAAGACTCACTTTCCAGTGCTCCTGAGAAGAAATGGTGTCTAAACCTGGTGATTCAGCCATAACAGGGCCTGTTGAGACTCCCTCCCTTATTCTGCGGTCCTTGTGGTACCTAAGTATCCAAGAAAAGGATGAAATCACTGTGGAAGCAGCAGATGTTTTTCTCTCTGTGCCACTATATAGGCAGACATTTGTGAAAAGTATTCTCTTCTGGCAAACTATGATTTTTCTCCCCTCCACCTCTTCTAAACATGTTCCACATTGAAAGAGTAGGATGGAGGGGTGGTGAAACTCAGCTTGGTAGTACCCAGCTCAAGATGATACATTCAACCCCTGTAGTTCATAGATATTCAACAATATTATTTCTTTAGAAGAAAGAAAACCCATGATCCAAACTAAAAATCAAAAAGTCATGGTATTTTTTCCCCCTGTTTTTATTGCTCAGCATCACAAACAAGACAACTACTAGTTAAGTCAGAGTTGGTAACTAGATGTACTGTGTATGAATATATGCCCAACCTACCATTAAAAGCAAACTCTGGAGCAGCTGCAATATTTTAAGCACTTACCACTAGATCTTTTTCAAATATATCTTCTGAGTCTCCCAGTAATTACTAGCTGCATGCAACATACTATTTTTCTGTCTTGTTAAGAACCCAATAGTATAATTACATTTCATGCAAACCCCAAAACTGTTTATTGTAACTTGTTATGAAAGATATAAAAATAAAAACAAAACTTTGTCTCCAATACAGGGTTAAGATGACACACTGGGAACAACACTTGCACAAATCACAACCCGATCTCACAGGTACATCTAAGCCAAACAGTATGTGGCTAGATCAGTTATCTGGGTTAATAGGACTGTGTGCACTCACAAGACAAATTTGGTGATTGTTTAGAAATTACAAACTTCATAGAATGTGCATGTGGCAACATTTAATATAAATGAAACTACTAAGTGTAGAAAGTGCAAGTGAACAGTCGCTGTGCAATCCCTCCAACACTCCTGGCTAAAACATGAGCAGCTCTTGAGGAACCAAACTATCCAGTCAAAAGACATGCTTCACTGAAGTCCCAATGAACTGGCTATCAATTGAGGTAGCAGAAATGACTGTAACTTACCCGGCTTTTCTCCTTCTAGCTGTCATTTTTCCTTGTGGCAGTTTATCTATTTCCTAAAATTTACCACCAAGGCAAGAGGCGGCACTCTAAGGAAATTCAGAATTGACTGCAGCATTTCGGAAATAAGGTGTCACTGCACACCGAAGCTAGAGTAGAAAATAGGTTACACAGGCTAGGCAGCTACAGATCTGAGCTATAAAATACAATCCTATCTTAAAGCTTTTCACATCTATCTTTGTCTTCAATCCTTTACCTAAAATCCTGATTGTAATCACTTGCTAAATAGACCTTTTTGTTTCACTGTTAATCCTGGATAGAGCTGGGGTGGGGAGGAGGAAGAAAATGGGAGATGAATCAGAAGAAAACTGAGGTTCTTAACAGAATCCAGAGGCTAAGGAGTGTTTCCTATCAAGGATCAGGCTGCAAAGAGCCCGGGTGGGACTTGTACCGCCAGTGACAGCTTCTGGGAAGAAGCTCCCTCAGGCAGGTATAAATCAATAAATACTCTGCTGCAAAGGAAAGGTGGTTGAGAGACATACCAACAGTTGTGGGTGAACTGTGTATTGTTATAACCTCAGGCAAAACGAAGCTGACAAATGATATCACTTTCACTCCCAAACGGGTGGCACGCATCCAGGAAAACACACTAAAATGTTGAGGATCCTTTTAGGAGTGGTAACACCACCATCTATTTTAGTCTGAAATCCAGCTCCACTGTCTACGCCTAGCCACTGAATGGACATAGCTTATAATCTCTTCATGGTTTTATTCCAGTAAGCAAGTTTATTGGCAATAGAAGTAACAATCTTTAAAGCAGTGATAAGAAACGACACAAAAATGATTTCTAATAGAGCACTAAAACTTGACAAATAGCAACAGTAAGATCATTCACAATCTCTGATCATGTTACTTTTGCCAAAGCAATACTTGAGTGACTTCAACTCAATTAAAATCAGCTAGTTGAACCAGAGGAATATGCTGTCATGCACAGGAAAGGATTTGGAGGAGTTGGTAGCACAGTGCTGTAACCACTGCTCAGTCACACTTGGTGATTCAACCTACTGTCTCTCAGGTTTCACTGACATTACACTCCTGCTTAACTTATACATCTAACAGTTTTGCTATTCTCATTTGTTAGGAGATACCATATCACCCAGCTGAATTCAAGTCCCCTAACTTTTTCTTCCAAGTCATCAAAAGCCCAACACAGAAGATGGCCAAAGGCCTCAGAAAGCAGATTCTAGCCTGAAGAAAAATCAGCATTTCTTCACGTCAGTAACTACTGCAAGGAATGTCTCTTCTGAATTGAACTTGCACACTACTTTGGCTTTGCACCTGCACAGTACCATGTGTGTGTAGGTCCTTTCAACCATACATACAGAACATAATATACACCATTCTCTTCCTGGAGAGAAATTTTGGGGTCAAGAGGGAAAAGAAAGGAAAGCACCACATGAGAGAATAGTCACACCTTGATTAACCTAATAGTAGCAGATGCTCAAAGAGCATGACAGAGACAATTATCACAGAATCCTAGAATGTTTTGGGTTGGAAGGGACCTTAAAGACCATCTAGTTCCACCCCCCTGCCCCGGGCAGGGTCCCCTTCCCCCAGCCCAGGGTGCTCCCAGCCCCGTCCAACCTGGCCTTGAACCCTTCCAGGGAGGGGGCAGCCACAGCTGCTCTGGGCACCCTGGGCCAGCCCCTCACCCCCCGCACAGGGAAGGATTTCTGCTTGATATCTAATCTGAATCTTCCCTCTTTCAGTTTAAAACCTTTACCCCTTGTTCTATCCCCACACTCCCTGATCAAGAGTCCCTCCCCACCTTCCCTGTCCCCCCCTTTAAGCACTGGGAGGCCACTGTAAGGTCTCCCCGGAGCCTTCTCTTCTCCAGGCTGAACCCCCCCAACTCTCAGCCCGGCCTCCCAGGGGAGCTGCTCCAGCCCCCCCAGCATCTTCGTGTCCCTCCTCTGGACCCTTTTCTTTGACCGGCCTGACTCTATATTCTTCATGGAAGTATCTTCAAGAAAACTTATCGGCAGTAGTTGTGACAGCCTTTAAAACAGCTATTGGTTTGAAAAGAGGCAAGTTTTCAAGTTTTGACACTACTAGAAATGCAACCATAGTGGAATAACAAAAAACCGTTTATGTGTCTGATCCAATCAAACCAAAATTTGTATTTCACTTATTGATAATTACAATTTGTCCAACTGCTTTAGAAAAATCTTTAAGTCAGTCCAGTTGCAAGCGTGACTTTCATGACAGAATTCCCATGAAGTCAAGAAAAAAAGATTCCCAAGTTATGAGTAAGCCACGCTGAGACTGATCAGAAGTGTGGAAAACAAGAACTGTAATGATTTTCTTCATTATTTGTGCTGCCAGCTTTTGCAGCCTGTCCTGTTAATGAACATTCTTCATTTGGGAATTCTAAATACGAGAAATATTCCGGATCTAAGATGGCAGGAAGAGCATCAGCCATAACTGAGAGGACCAATGTGTCTGCCCACCCTCTATCCAACCCCAAAAGGCCCTGCATCATATAAACCCACCACAAAACTTGCTCTCAACTTAGCAGGAAGTCCTAATATATCTGCTCCCTAACAGGCTGGGGGTGTTCTCTAGGTCAAGATGGAGCCGACTCATCTCTGTGTAACACTGAAGCAAAACATAGTTTAAATACATACACACACAGAGAAATATATTTAGAATTTAAACACTAAGTATCTTTGTTGAGGGTTGGATGGCAATTAGAATAAACGAGAACTAACATTACATAAGGTACGTGTAATTATTATTATTTTTTAAACACCACATGCAACATGGAACAAGAATTCCAGGACTATCTTAGATCCTGGTATGTGTTATTTGAAAAGCTTCACTATCAGCCTGTTCCAGGTTTCTCAAATAATTTCTCAGCAATTTAGTAGCATTCTACATAGATCAATTTATCTGGATTGACACCAATGCTTTCAATTTAGTGTTATTTTATCACTTAAAGATGCAAAGTCACTTAAAGTTGAAAGTGCTCTCTAATATCCTTATTATTACTCCTGCTTGCATATCAGTTTTCTTCCAGTGCCCTTCCGCTTTAGGTTCAGGCTTCACATCTTCACTTTTAAGGCTTCATAAATCTCTGCCCCACCAAACTCTTTCCTTGTTGCCTCATATACCACGGGCCTTGCTTTACTTCATTAAAGCTTTCATCTCCTTTCCTTCACATGCTTTTTTTCATGCCACTACTCCTGTTCTTAATGGTATCCAGTGCACCTCTTTGCTCATTCTCCCACATAAACCCCTCAAAAATATTTAAAACAAGACCAGCAAGATATGTTAAACACTGAATTCAGCAAGTTTTCTTCAGTGTAACACCAACCTAAGCCCATATCGCTGTTGTGGACCTTTCCTAGGATTTCCTCTTTGTTGGACATGAGTTGGGGAAAAAAACCCACCTGGAAAGAGATTACTTGATTCTGTCTAGAAGTTATTTTGCCTCCCCATTCTTCCACGCTTTATTTATAAAGTGTCAGTTATGTACAAATTCAAAACACCTGCTAATAAAGTATTAAAAATGGCTATTAACGTCTTCAAAATGCTGTATTTAAGCTTATGCAAATTCAGTGTGTAGATGCAGAAGTTTCCCTAGCTGCATATGTAGCATTTACAGAATATCTTCACACAAATACCTTTAACTCTCTCCGCATTTCATGCTACATCCCAGCGTTTCACATTCTGAATGCAGAAATGGAAAGCAACACCACAGTTTACCCTTCAGAATAATTATTTTAAAAATAATAAAAAAAAAAAAAAAAAAAAAGGTACAAAAGGTATGTAATGATTGCTTTACAGGCTGATTTGCTGCAAAGCAACTTACTTTGTGAAGCCTCCAGTGCTGCTGCCATAGTGGTGCTCCCAGGCGGGCCAAAGCCTGCTCCTAGGATGACACCCGGTGGCCACAAAAACAAACAGCAAGGCCTTCTCCTGGCCCTCCCGCCTCACTCCCTGGTCTCGGGTGTAGGAGCCGTCACAGTGTTACAGCCAGGCATCAGCTGGAAACTCTTCAGAGGAATCTGCAAAACATAGGAAAACCCTGCGTGAAATTCAAACATACATAACACAGTTTGAGTAAGTAATACACGGTGGTTTGGACAATTTATATGCCGCTTTTTTTTTTTTTTTTTTTTAATACAATTGTATAAAGGTAATATCTAGTGGTGTCAGAATGCTCAAAATCTAATTTCTTGGTTTATTCCACAGTGTTTCATTCTGGAAACAGTGAGCAGTAGGCGAGTGGCATTCCCAAAGTACGACTCTGCAGGTTTGGGATTAGGGCATAAACTGCTGTTCCAAGGCAGGGAAGATTAGTTTATCTGTGCTTGAAAGTTACAGGACTAAAATGTTTTAATTTTAAGTTATAGGATGGAGAAATCCAAATTAGAGATATACCTTGTCGTGCTTAAAATAGCTTTGAACAAAGTAAAACAGTAACAATGCTTCAATAAATCATCAAATAACAAACAGGGCATCGTGCTCTAGAAAAATCAATTGACAACTGAACATCAATGAGAGTTAAGAGCTTTTTGCCACATATGTTATAATGCCTAAGTATCCTGTGAGTCAGAGCAGAGCTTTTCTTCACTAAGTCTAGTCAAGAATTATTTGATAATATTTTCTAAAGATTAATAAGGAATGCACTGTTTTAGGGGAAATAAGCAAGAGCACTTCAGCACAGATTTTTGATGTTACATTGTTGGAATTTTTGGCAAGAGAAATGGGAATATTTATTGCTTGTCAGCTTTCATTTGTCTCATTTTATTTCTCACATCAGAGTCAAAATTCCTGGTGATGCCATAAACCTCTTTATAGTAGCTAGGGATATCACAGAAGACAATTGCCCTTTTTCCTGTTGAGAAATATCTATTTTTCTCTCCAGTAAGTACAAAGCCAAGTAAATAAAGCTTCCCAGACATCTTTGCACAATGGAAATTCTTAATGCAATGGTGACCCTGTGCTTCATTTGGCAGCTCTTGCACCCTTACCCCAGCCGGGCACCAGTGTGGTGGAGGTGGTGGGTGTGTAACTAGCCATTACCACTGAGCCCTGAGAACTGGTTTACTGCTTTCTCACCTCATTTGTGCCTTAACATCTCTGCTTAGAAAGGTAAGGGTTAAAACAACAAAGATGTTCGTTTACATGAGCGTAATGAAATTATTCAGGTACTTTGACTGAAGCAATAGTTTATTAAACTACATTAGCATACAACATCTGAAAGAGATTACTGAACACAAAACTGCACACACAAGGCAAGCATAACAAACTAAACCGGCCTGGAAACAATGACAAAAATGTGTCACTTATCAGTAAGTTACACACGTGCACTTACTGGCCAACCAAGTATGCAAGAATTTAAAGCTTGCGGCAGGATCCAGCAACTGAATGAAACCTAAACAAATAAGCATAGCAATGGGAAGAATGACCTCCCACTGTATTAAGTTTAAAGCTAGATATCGCCAAGAGACATGCAAAGCTGCTGGAGTATGCACGCAGCTAATCCTTGAGATACCACGGAGCCAGACCAAAGACAGCACTGGGAAGGCGGATGGAGGGTTAAAACGCAGCCGTATAAACTGCTGCCAGAGCCCAGCTGGATTCAAAGCTCTGGGTTCCAACAAGCAAGGCCGAGACTGAGCCGCCTTCTGAGGGGGACTAGTCCAAGCACCTCCTTTGATCTTGTGCCTCCTCGGTGGATGCAGTCATGTTGCAACAGTTGAAAAGTTTTAAATGATTTTCATTTGTTTGAAAGTTCACTTGCTTTTTTGTTTACTGAAGAATAAACACTCATTATTAGCTGGAAAGTTTAAATACTAATTGCCAATCTACTACCGCTTTTTTTACTCCCTCTTCCACCTGCTCCCTCATGCTAGATTTCTGTGTTAAGCCAAATTATGATTTAAATGTACTAGGCTCAGGTGTGGGAAAACAACATTTTACAATATCAGTGTAAACCAGATGCGAGGTGCTGGAAGGCTAATCGCACAGCATGGTATTTCAGACTGTCGTATTTACACCCACACGTAATACCATACACATGTGCCACCATCTTTATACAACTCCATACATATGTACATATACACTGTATTAGGGCTAAATGAGGTATGATTGCAGACTAACAACCTGATTGGAGGAGGTTGAGAAATCCCACAAGGAACTGAGAAAGTCTCAATAATAGTATTTGGATGACTGTTTTTTTCCTGTATTAACACTAAGCCTGCTGTGGAATAAAATCTGTTTTATGTGACAGAAGCGCTACCCGCATGTTATTTTAAGCTCTACCTTTCCATCTCCTCCACCCTCTTCCTCTGTGAATTTCAAGTCAGGCCTGTATTTGAGAGGAGAAAAATCACACACACACGCACAACCCCCCTGCCCTCCTCCCCAGATCCTAAAGCAGACTTCCAGGTTCCAGCAGTGAAGGTGTGAAGGCAGAGGTAAGCACCATCCCCAAACCCACCAGAGGTGGCAAATGCAAAACTCAAACCAGTCACGTCCTTGCTGCGTTCTGAACTCATCCTAACTTCCAGATAACAGAAATGAACTGTAAGAAGGGGCTTCGTAGCAAACATCCTAGGTAAAATCTCTACTGACTTTCAGTTGCTTGCTCATTAGACTGCCTTTAACAAAAGCCTTCTTTTCGGGTGACTGTTTATTTTTCCTCTAATAGTTTGAACAGTCACAACTTTCACATTTCATCAATTCTCACTGTGAATTATCCTGGTGTGACTTTACAACGTATCTATATGAACTTCTGTGTAGTTCTGACAACAGTGAAATTTCTTACTCCTTTGTGAAGGTTTCTTCCATTTTTGGCATGATCTTTGCATTCCCAAACTTGACAGACATAGTAATAGTTAGTCTTGGCATTCACTGTTGTGTGACTCTGGCTCGTATGTTCATTCATGTACTTTGTTTTAAAGAATTCCCTCTGGCCGTTACTGCCTTTCAGCACATTTTTGCTTTTCAGTATTGTTTCATGCCAAAATCCAAAATAGTTTGTAACAGAGGCAAAAGATCAATGTATTTTGATACATGACACGATGATTCAGTATCAGTTCTTTAGATTTATAAATTTAAGAAAACGTTCCCTTCATTTTCCTGTCCTCCTCTCTCAACATTTCCTTCCATGTCTCTTCTTATATGGTCTCCTTTGGCTGGAACCCCTTTTTTACTTTGTACACTCACTATCTCCTGCCATTTAAAATATTTTTACTAACAGGTCCATAATCTCATTTGTAATTGCCAGAGGCATCAGCACCCCCCAGCACTGATAATATGCAACAGAGATCTGCCTCTATTTTGCCCACCGGGATATGCTTTACTTTTTACTCCATGCTGAGCTGATGACATTGCACTTACAATACTTGATTAAAACAAACAAAACAGTGGCTTTTAATGGGGGGGGGAAAAAAAAAAAAAAAAAAAAAAAAGACAAAATAGTCAAGTAGGGCTAACAATAAAGAAATTCTCAAGGTCTGAGAAACAGCTGTAGTAAATCTGAGGCAGAAAGCACTCCCTCACTCCACGTGAACACGGCTGCCATACATAGTTACCGTAAACATTGCAGGCAGCTATTTATACACATTTCTGTGAAGAGTCCAAGGCCAAGAGACATTTAAGTTGCTCAAGGAAATAGATATTAAGAATTAAAATCCTTCTACCGTGGTACGTTATACAATCTGAAAACTTCACATTCATTTGTGACGATGACAAGAATACTAATTCTTCATTTTACATTCTTGTTCTAGATCATTTTCCATTACCACCCATTTCTACAAGTAAACTAGAAATGAATACCATACCTTTTGTTTGTTGAACAGATCTCAAGGCATTACTTTTTCTTTTTTAACTATTAATTATTTTAATAGCAAGCTTTATCAACGTTTTACTGCTGGGTATGCACATGGTTGTTACTGCACCATAAGCAAGTCCTTAAAAGTTATACTCATTTACAAATCCAATTATAAAAGAAAAGGTGAAATGGATTGTGTGCCTTCTGTGGCAGAAACAGAACAGAAACTTCATACGGCATTTGAATTGCTAGCGGTCCGGAAACAAGGATGTAAAAAAAGTTGAAGAATCCGGCTTTTAACAAATTAGCAGAATAAGTCAAACGGAAAATTACAAGCGTCAATAAGTGTTAGATAATATAGGAAATAAAGTTCTATTGAGCATGTGAATTGTGCAAATAAGGTTTTATTTAGTGAATGCACTCGTTTCCTCTCTACTAGGAGCTCAAATGACTGCATAAAGAGTAACTATTGGTAAACACAACTATCACTTTTTAAAAGACCAGTGTTACCATGGTGACTCTACAGGAAAGAATCATGTGAAGTCACGATTAAGAAGGTCAGGAAAGCCAGCCTTATGTTATGCTCTTTTTTTCCACAGTAGAAGAAAGGGAGTAACTGTGACATTTGCAGACAGGCTAGATACACAATTGGGGAGGAACAAACTGTAATAATGGGATGCTCAGCTGGCAAATAAATGCATAATCCAAACTAGCTAGCAGAGGCAAAATCTTTTGGCTGTTATTGCGGGCATAAATCCTGAGGACTAATGAGAAAAGCAAAACTTAGTACAAATTAAGCATGGGATTCTAGGATTGGGGCTGCTCAAACAGCCAACTGCAATCTGGGTTGGACTGTGAATGAATTTTCCTTTTGGACTTCAGCTATGCCAGTGTGTAACATCTCCCAGATTCCTTTGTGAAGCCTGAAAAGTCCCTTTTCAGGTCGGATACAACACACCAGACTAGCTCCAGGTTGGCGTCTGGGGCCTGACTGGCTCAGCAGGTCTGCGACAGGTACACAGAGTCCTAACGAGCAGGAAAATGTTTAGTAGCTTCAGAAAACAGAGCGTCTTGTCTTGTTCTACATACTTCAAAAAGACAGATAACAAACCTCTAACTCAGCTTTCCTGGAAGTCCTATTGAGATCAAAAGGCTGTTTTCCTGAGGTAGGCATCAGGTGCCTTTAAAATCTATAGCCCTAAGTAACACAATACTCCATATTGC